CGCTTGGAGAGCGATTCATAGCAGCAGGAGATTACAACGCCAAGCACACGCACTGGGGATCCCGCCTTGTGACCCCCAAAGGAAGGCAACTATATAATGCACTCATTAAAACATGCAACAAACTGGACTACGTTTCACCAGGCAGCCCTACATACTGGCCTACAGATCCTAGAAAACTACCTGATTTAATTGATTTTGCTGTGACAAAAAACATCTCTCGCAATCTAATATCTGCAAAATCGCTTTTGGATCTATCATCGGACCACTCACCAGTGCTAATAACTCTTCTTCAAAGCCCGGAATTAATCGAGCACCCTCGCAGGCTGACGTCGCATCGAACCAACTGGCTGAAGTTCAAAAAGTACGTAAGTTCCCACATTGAACTAACTCCACAGCTCAACATCAAGGAGGACATCGACTGCTACGCCGATGCCCTGGAGTCTGTACTCGTCGCAGCAGCCAAAGTCTCAACACCGCAAGGGAGGGATGGGCACACACACCAACACAAAACTAACCATGAAATCGAACAGCTTGTTTTGGAGAAAAGACGTTTGAGACGTACTTGGCAAACCAGCAGATCGCCATCCTCAAAAAAAAGTCTTAATGAAGCTGGTCGCAGACTTACCAGGGCTCTAAGGCAAGAAGAAGAAAAAGCACAACGCCAGTACATTGAGAAACTTTCACCCACCAGCACTAAGCATCCCTTGTGGAGGGCCCACCCAAAACTAAGTGCGCCGGCCGAAACAGTAATCCCCATAAGAGACTCTTCAGGCAGCTGGGCCAGAAGCGACAAAGACAGAGCTTGTACATTTGCTTTACACCTTCGAAATGTTTTTCAGCCAAACCCTGCAACTAATTCATTCGCACTACCGTCGCCGTCAATTCGAATTGAATCTGAGACGGAGCCAATTCTGTTTCAACCAAATGAAATTGCAAAAGTAATCAGCGAGCAATTGAAACCAAAAAAGGCCCCAGGCGGTGATCAAATAACTCCCAAAATGTTAATCGAACTTCCAAACTGTGCAGTTGAGGTTATTTGTAAACTCTTCAACGGGATTACACGACTTGGCTATTTCCCAAAAAAATGGAAAAAATCGGTAATCATAATGATCCCAAAGCCAGGGAAAGATCACACAATACCAGCTTCGTATAGACCGATAAGTTTACTCTCGTGTCTGTCAAAACTGCTCGAAAAATGCCTTCTGACGCGCATCATTCCATATCTGAAAGAGCACAACGTTATTCCAGCACATCAATTTGGCTTTCGAGAAAGCCATGGAACAATAGAGCAAGTCAACAGATTAACAACAGAAATAAGGACTGCATTCGAGCTTCGGGAATACTGCAGTGCGGTATTCCTTGACGTTGCACAGGCTTTCGACCGAGTCTGGCTTGATGGCCTTATCCATAAAATCAGAACGATCCTGCCAGGAAACACTCACAGGATACTGGAATCGTACCTTTACAACAGAGCCTTCGCCGTGAGATGCAACACCACAACATCCGATGACTACGCTATAGAGGCTGGAGTTCCCCAAGGTAGCGCCCTTGGTCCAACTCTATTTCTCCTCTACACCGCAGATATTCCCACGAACGAGCGGCTAACTACTTCTACATTCGCAGACGATACCGCGATCATAAGTCGGTCCAAATGCCCAACTCAGGCAACAGCACTACTAGCTGATCATCTCGTTGTAGTGGAGAGGTGGTTATCAGACTGGCGTATAAAAATAAATGCGCAAAAGTGTAAACACATAACGTTTACTCTTAACAGACAAACGTGTCCCCCGCTAACCCTGAATAACACGCCACTTCCACAAGCTGACGATGTAACGTACCTTGGCATCCACCTAGACAGGAGACTTACATGGCGGAGACATATCGAAGCTAAGAAAATTCACCTAAAACTAAAATCAAACAGTCTCCATTGGCTTTTAAACGCGCGCTCCCCCTCTGCCTGGACTTCAAGGTCCTGCTCTACAATTCAACGCTTAAGCCAGTCTGGACCTACGGCTCCCAATTGTGGGGAAACGCGAGCAGCAGCAACATCGACATTATTCAGCGAGCACAATCAAAAATCCTGAGAACTATCACTGGGGCACCTTGGTATGTTCGGAACGACAACATCCACAGAGATCTTGGCATTCTACCCGTAAAAGATGAAATATCAAAACAAAAAGCGTCCTACCACACCAAGCTAACTTCTCATCCAAACCAGCTCGCCAGGGGCCTAGCCAGGGCTTCCATCCGGACCCGATTGCAACGCAATGACCTTCCAGCTCAGCAATAGTTATTAGAGCCCCTAAATTTTCGCGCCAGTCACCTTGACTGTCAGATAGCTTTTTAATTTAAGATTCTATATACTTATTGTTAGTCTCAATTCAGAGAAGATCCAATAAATAAAATGCAAAATGTTAAAAATAAAAAAAAAAAACTTCATCTTCGTCATCTACCTCCACATCATTTGCTTCATCATAGTCTTCCCTATGATTAGCGGCAGATCGTGCATTCCGCTTGACAAATCTGTACCAAGCTGCGAAATCTGCTAAACAAATTCCTTCCAACTGCTCATGCCTTTGCACATATCGGTCAAGAATATTACGCTCAAAAATATCCACCGAGTTGTTTGGAAGTCGCTCTAATTCTTCATTTGAGCGAGCCAATCTAACTCGTTTGTCTGGATGACAAGTGTTTAAAAAAATAGTACCTTCACCCAGACCCAAAATATTGTAAGCTGCTTCTTGGGCCGATATTTCAGTAGCGTTAATAAACTTATTCCCTAGGTGCTGTAATTTCCTTTTAATAGAAATATTCCCATGGCTTATTTCTGCCATGGCTTCACGGAGCAACTGCGATACGCCTCTGTTTGATTTGTTTATGTAGTTAATGATATAACTACATCAGGCGTACGCATCTAGGATAAATTGAATATCCATATTAGCTCTGTGCAAGCCTAGAATATCTCTATTATAAGCATTGAGCAGTCGGTCGGAGAATTGTCTGCGAAGAAAAATTTGTGGCTTTTTTAAGCTGGAACGTAAGGCTAGTTTGTAGGCTTCAAAATTTGTTTCAAGGTGGGACAGAAAATGATCAAAATTGTTAAATAATGCTTTGTTAATAAAAGCTTCATTTGAAATATTCCTTAAAGCTTCCTTAATTTTTTTAAACAAAGTTTTATGATCTTCAATATTGACTTCGTTTTCATCTATTGGATGCAAAATAAGCGTTTCGGGCATAGGAGGATATGGCAATATGCCGATTAAATAAATCGGCAGAACTCCTGTCCGCGTAACTCTCTTAGGCAAGAAGCACTATGCTTGTGGCGTTGATACTGAATTACTTCTTGTAGTTCAGTATCGTCTCCATTTTTAGTAATAAACCTATCAATAAAGTTTATTACTTGCTCGGTATTTTCGTTGTCTTCGAGCTTAGGAGCACCAGCAAGCCAGTACATGACATGAGAATGCGGAGATCCTCTGTGCTGGAACTCGATTCTCCAATAAAAATGAGAAAGATTGAATTCCCCAAAAATATCGGTTTTGAACAATTTCATTAATTGTCGCAACCTGTAATCGAAGTATCGAGAGCACGTCACTGGATCGGATCGAATTAACCGAGCCTTTTCGGGGCTGGACAGAGCTGCCGCTTCTTCCTCGCTTATAGCCCTATTATCCAATAGAAGAGACAGGATAACTAAAAGTTCATTCCACTTAGTTTCAGCAGCGGAAAGAGTAATGAAAAACGTTGGCAGCCCAAATTGTCGAATCATAGCTATAACTTTTTTTTCTCAGCCTCCCAATGAGCTGGTGCAGACCGTAAGCCTTTCAGGATGTGGTAGCCATCATCATGTTGCTCAAGACGGTCAACAAATGATTCATCCCGCAGATTACCAGCGGTAACCGCTCCTGGCTTTTTGCGTAAAGCAATTGAAATTGAATTTTGTATGCGCTGCATTTCGTAAAATTTATACATGTATAAAACTTTTGGAACTACAAGAAATAGTTGGAAAGGAAAGTTCCTCTGCGTCTTCGTCAAGCGTTAAGCTTGTTGGCCGACGGCCTTCACCCGGTGCCAATGCAATGCGCTGAATTGCAGTATCATTATTTTCCAATAATGTTTCATGGCCTCCGGGATTTAAATTTTCTTCGAGCTCTGCAGCATTTTGGGAGTGGTGCTGCTGGTGAAGAAGTTGCTCTACTGCTTCGCGATCAGATTCGTCCGCAATAAAAGGAATATCATTAATTCCTTGAAGTTCTGTTCGCCATGATTCGTTTAGTGAAATGTTGTGCTTTCTGTAGAGCTCGGTACTTACTAAGTACCGTACAGCTTCAAGGACCCGAGCGGGTCGAATAGTTTCAGTCATGAAATTGTGAGCGTACTCTAGTCTCCTTTTTAAATGGACTTGGATGACATGGGTAGAGTCGAAAGAGCGTGGAAGCGCAGTCACCATATCGGGAACTGAAATTGGAACATTCACCACTGCCCCTCTGATTCCACATTGCCTTTCATAGCCGAGGGAAATAATCCTCATAAAAGGGATTCTCGGTGAAATAAGGCGTTCTTCGAGGCAGGTGAGTCCATTTAAGCACTCAGGGATTTCTGGGAAATCGAACCCATTAGAAAGGCAGAGTGATGGCAGTTTGCCAAGAGAAATGGCACGACGACAAGTGTGGCAAAAGTTATATTTGCCGGACGGACTGGGAAATTTTCTTGACAAATAAAAGGCGTTGCCAACGTTTAGGAGAGGAAATGTAGAGGAGATAGCCAGGATGGATAATCCACTTACCTGCGAACGGAACCCTGTTCCTCCACAGCAAATACAAATAGCCGTTGGGCCTTCCTTTATGTTCCTGTGGTACAGATCCCTCGCTGATGATCGAATCCTATTTCGCTGTTGTCCTCGTTCCTGTTCTAGTTCATCCTCCGAAAGTTGAGCTCTTGCGTCCATGTTTCTTTGCGACTGCCTTTGGGAAGCATCCAGTCGATTTTGTGAGTCCATCCTAAAGTTTAATAATCGATCCTCTGCCATTTGCCGAATTTGTTCTTCCCGAATCCTCCGCTGTTTGTCGTGTTTCCCGGCGTTGTGATGTGTTTATCCGTTGCTCCTGTGATCTAGCGATGGGATTTCTCCTGGTTGCTCTCCTGTTATCGGCGTCCCTTTCCCGTTCTCGCTGCCTGTCTTCCATATCCCTTCGTCGCTCTCGGTGCTCTCCAGTGTTCCTTTCCTGTTCCCTTGCACGTTCCTCTGGGTCCTCGCGATGAGCAGCTCGTGCTGCGGCGTCCCGAATCCGCTCTGAAATTCGAAATTCGGGATTGTTCCTCCGAGTGGCATGGTCAGCAGTATTTTGCACCTGCTCTTGTCGCCGCTCCTCGGTGTCTTCTCGCCGAATAGTACGCGCTGCGGCGTCCCGCACCCGTTCAGGATTTCGGTACTCCGGAATAGTCCTCCGAGTAGAGTGCTCAGCAGTGTTTCGCAACTGCTCTCGTCGTCGCTCCTCGGGGTCCTCTCGACGGGCAGCGTGTGCATCCATGTCCCGAATCCGTTCAGGAATTCGAAACTCCGAAATAGTCCTCCGAGTAGAGTGTTCAGCAGTGTTTCGCAACTGCTCTTGTCTTCTCACCTCAGAGTCCTGTCGACGATTCGAACGTCTTGTAGCATCCTGAATACGCTCTACAGAACGGATTTCTGGGTTAGTCCTCTGAGACGCATGCTCAGCAGTGTTTCGCAACTGCTCTTGTCTTCGTTCCTCAGAGTCCTCCCGACGAGTTGAATGCGCTTGTGCGTCCCGAATCCGTTCAAGGTTGCGAACCCTTTCGCTTCTTCTCCGCTGCGCGCGTGCAGCGGAATCCTGAGCACGACTTTCCTCCCGAAGGTTAACTTCGGCTCCGCCCGAAGTTAGCTTTTCTTTCTTGTTTTTGTTACTATTGCGTATTCTTATTTTAGATATGGTTATCCTATATGCTCTTATATTATGTATGGCCATACGTGATATATTTATGAAATTAAAATTGATTATGAAATAAAGAGTTTTAATCTATCTTTATGTACTGTTTGTTTTTTATTTTTATACCCTTGCAGGGATATAATTCAGTCAAAAGTTTGAAAGAAAATCTATCCTCCCAGGAGAGTCGATGCCCGTCTGTCCGTCCCGTCCGCCCGTCCGTCCGTCTGTCCGTCCGTCCGTTTCTACGCAAACTAGTCCCCAGTTTTAAAGCATCTGCTGAAACTTTCCCAAAAGTTGTCTTCTATTGCAGGTAGTATATAAGTCGGAACGAGCGGATCGGGCCACTATATCATATAGCTGCCATATAACAACGATCGGAAAGCCAAACTTGGTGTTTTAAAGTTAGGAAGTTGGGTTTCAGAGTTTTATTTTGGCCAATTAATGACCTACCGAATTTCATAATCGGACGACTATATCCTATAGCCGCCATATAATTGATTGATCGGAAATGCCAAACTTGGTGTTTGTAAAGTTATCAAGTTGGGATTTCATGGGTTTATTTTGGCCAATCAATCCGACCTACCAAATTTCATAAGGATCGGCCGACTATATCCTATAGCTGCCATATAACTGAACGATTGGAAATGCCATAACTTTGGTTTTTTAAAGTTAGGAAGTTAGGAAGGACTTTTAAGAGTATTAAAATATATGAATATATGAATAATTTTGAAGAATATAATTTACAGAATATTCTGCAAGGGTATATCAACTTCGGCTCCGTCCGAAGTTAGCTTTCCTTTCTTGTTATTATTTATTATAGTTATGTTATCTCTATCTCCTATTTGTTCTACCTTATAAGGACCTGTATATTTGAAATCTAACTTGTGTCCTGTTTCATTGTAGCCTTGCAGAGGGTATTATAATTTTGGTCAAAAGTGTGCAACGCAGTGAAGGAGACATCTCCGACCCTATAAAGTGTATATATTCATGATCAGGATCACCTCCTGAGTTGATATAAGCATGTCCGTCTGTCCGTCTGTCTGTCCGTCAGTCTGTTTCTACGCAAACTAGTCTCTCAATTTTAAAGATATCGAACTGAATCTTTGCACACACCCTTCTTTCCTTTGCACGCAGTATATAAGTCGGAACGGCCGGGATCGGCCGACTATATCCTATAGCTGCCATATAACTGATTAATCGGAAATGCCATAACTTTGGTGTTTGTAAAGTTAGGAAGTTGGAATTTTCTATGGGTTTTATTTTTAGCCAATCAATCCGACCCACAAAATTTCATAAGGATCGGCTGACTATATCCTATAGCTGCCATAAATTTGGTTTTTGTTAAGTTAGGAAGTTGGGATTTTCTATGGGTTTTATTTTTGGCCAATCAATCCGACCTACCAAACTTCATAAGGATCGGTCGACTATATCCTATAGCTGTCATATAACTGAACGGTTGGAAATGCCATAACTTTGGTATTTATACCCGTTACTCGTAGAGTAAAAGGGTATATTGTATTCGTGCAAAAGTATGTAACAGGTAGAAGGAAGCGTTTCCGACCCTATAAAGTATAAATATTTTTGTTCAGGATCACTAGCCGAGTCGATCTAGCCATGTCCGTCTGTCTGTCTGTCCGTATGAACGCTGAGATCTCGGAAACTATAAAAGCTAGAAGATTGTCATTTTGCATGTAGATTTTAGGAGTTCCTACGCAGCGCAAGTTTGTTTCAAAATGCCACGCCCTCTCTGACGCCCACAAGCCACAAGCTGTGGCCACAGTTTTGATGATATTATTAAAATTTTAATTGATATGTATTTGTTTCGTCAATAAATATCGATTGGCCTAATAAAAGTTTGCCACGCCCACTCTAACGCCCAAAAACCCATTAAACGCTTAAGCCTGGCTAGCGCCTACATTTCCGCCTTTCATGGCGCCATCTAACGGATGACTTTGGAACAGCTGGCCAAGGTGCTCAACAGAGTCAACGTTAATTATCGATAAGGATTTCTATAAAAGGAAATTGCGATGGTTTTCATTTGTCAATACTCAACTATATCCCAAGAACTATGCAAATCAAATTAAGTTAGCCAAATTGGAGGTCGTATGGCGTATGTGTGTATGTATGTAAGCATATACATATGTATGTATTTACATAGTACACAGTTGCAATTGCCCGGCAAAGATAACTCCTTTCAAAGAAAGCTATTCGCTATACCCGTTACTCGTGTTGTGCAAACATTTAGACTTTAATATACATAATACTATTTAAGAATGTATGTGCTTAGCCAATATAAGTATGTATGTTTAATATTTCTAGTCAATTTATTGCACTCAAAAACATAAACATAAACACAGCTGCTGGTGCAGGACAAAAGCTGCCTGCGCTAAAGCAGCGCTGGTGCTGATGCTCGTGCTGTAAAGCTGCCAGCACTAAGAGATCGCCGAATTCAAATTGATAATTTGAACTTTTTGTCTTTTTTTCCTGTGGTCACTATAATTCACATTATGGTAAAATAAAAAAACATACAAGAAGGCATATTTATATTAAGTTGTTTAGCTGAGTAACGGGTATCTAATAGTCGAGGCACTCGACTATAGCGTTCTCTCTTGTTTTAAAGTTAGGAAGTTGGGATTTTTATATTATATTAAGAATGCATCATATAAAAAATTTTGGAGAATATAATTTACAGAGTATTCTGCAAGGGTATATCAACTTCGGCTCCGCCCGAAGTTAGCTTTCCTTTCTTGTTTTTCAATAAAACCTGATCTCCTATTTTTAAAACGAAATCTAAACTAGTTTTGCCGTAACTAATTTTTTGTTTTAACTTATGAGATTCTAGCATTAGTCTAGCTCTCTTAAATGCCTGTTCTAATCTAAATTTGGATTCCTTAGCATAATCTTCTATATTATAAAGGGGTTTTATTTTATCTATGCTATTAAAATGTTTTGGTAGATTTGAAATTTTACCAAAAACTAGCTCATATGGACAATAGTCATGTGCCATAGATGGGGTTGTATTAAAACAATAGACGAAGTATCGCAGCCAAAATATAATTGATTTTCCACCAAAACTTAAGTCAGGGCTTCGGAAAATTTGACGAAGCCGTTGATCCAAAAATGAAAGCATTTTAGAACCAACCAAAGAAATTTCATCAATTATAATCAGTTGGAGATCAATCAACTTGCAATGAATTGTATTTAAACTATCATTGCTTAAAGGTCTTAAGGGACCAGAAGCCTGATTAATTGGAAGAGAAAACACTGAATGTAGAGTCAGTCCTCCAATTCCAAAAGCAGTTTTTCCAGTCGGAGCACATAATAAAACCTTTGCTGAATCCGTAGCACCAGGAAGCTTATTTGCTCGCCAAGTCACAGACTGATAGATGGTAGAAATCAGTCTGCTTTTTCCTACACCGGCCCTTCACCAACATATTCGTAAAAAACATTTTTACAAACTACATTATGCATCACATGTGCATAATAATGTCTTTGTTTGTAGTTGAGGGACCGAGTTAGCGAGCAAAGGTCATCATTGGAAACTAACGGGGGGAGTCTAATTAATTGAAGTTCGCCGTCTTCTTCAGGGTTGTTTATCGCATTGTCATCCTGAAGAATATTTACGTTCCGCTCTATATTTGGAACTGCCAAAGCTCTAAACTCTTCGTCTAAAAATTGGGAGGCAGGTTCTTCCGCATCAGGAGCATTATCTCCCCTATCCTCTTGCAAATCTCCCAGAACTCTTTCTAACTCCATATCATCAAACACATCATAGTTCCTTTTCATTGTCTTAATGGCTTCATGGTTTACTCGGAATGTGTTTTCAATGTCGTTGGAAAGAAGTTCAGCTTCTTCATTTCGCCAAGGATAGAAGAGCATTAAATGCTCTCGGAAATAATCGGAAGGTGAAGAGTTAATACTAAAGCGAACCCACCTTAGAATCAGGGGATGCCTACGTTTCTTAACGCAGCCAGACCCATCCATCAATGGATAACTTTGCTCAGCAACTTCATCTTCGTCATCTACCTCCACATCATTTGCTTCATCATAGTCTTCCCTATGATTAGCGGCAGATCGTGCATTCCGCTTGACAAATCTGTACCAAGCTGCGAAATCTGCTAAGCAAATTCCTTCCAACTGCTCATGCCTTTGCACATATCGGTCAAGAATATTACGCTCAAAAATATCCACCGAGTTGTTTGGAAGTCGCTCTAATTCTTCATTTGAGCGAGCCAATCTAACTCGTTTGTCTGGATGACAAGTGTTTAAAAAAATAGTACCTTCACTTGCCTCCGACATATGCAGACCCAAAATATTGTAAGCTGCTTATTGGGCCGATATTTCAGTAGCGTTAATAAACTTATTCCCTAGGTGCTGTAATTTCCTTTTAATAGAAATATTCCCATGGCTTATTTCTGCCATGGCTTCACGGAGCAACTGCGATACGCCTCTGTTTGATTTGTTTATGTAGTTAATGATATAACTACATCAGGCGTACGCATCTAGGATAAATTGAATATCCATATTAGCTCTGTGCAAGCCTAGAATATCTCTATTATAAGCATTGAGCAGTCGGTCGGAGAATTGTCTGCGAAGAAAAATTTGTGGCTTTTTTAAGCTGGAACGTAAGGCTAGTTTGTAGGCTTCAAAATTTGTTTCAAGGTTTCAAAATGATCAAAATTGTTAAATAATGCTTTGTTAATAAAAGCTTCATTTGAAATATTCCTTAAAGCTTCCTTAATTTTTTTAAACAAAGTTTTATGATCTTCAATATTGACTTCGTTTTCATCTATTGGATGCAAAATAAGCGTTTCGGGCATAGGAGGATATGGCAATATGCCGATTAAATAAATCGGCAGAACTCCTGTCCGCGTAACTCTCTTAGGCAAGAAGCACTATGCTTGTGGCGTTGATACTGAATTACTTCTTGTAGTTCAGTATCGTCTCCATTTGTAGTAATAAACCTATCAATAAAGTTTATTACTTGCTCGGTATTTTCGTTGTCTTCGAGCTTAGGAGCACCAGCAAGCCAGTACATGACATGAGAATGCGGAGATCCTCTGTGCTGGAACTCGATTCTCCAATAAAAATGAGAAAGATTGAATTCCCCAAAAATATCGGTTTTGAACAATTTCATTAATTGTCGCAACCTGTAATCGAAGTATCGAGAGCACGTCACTGGATCGGATCGAATTAACCGAGCCTTTTCGGAGCTGTACAGAGCTGCCGCTTCTTCCTCGCTTATAGCCCTATTATCCAATAGAAGAGACAGGATAACTAAAAGTTCATTCCACTTAGTTTCAGCAGCGGAAAGAGTAATGAAAAACGTTGGCAGCCCAAATTGTCGAATCATAGCTATAACTTTTTTTTTCTCAGCCTCCCAATGAGCTGGTGCAGACCGTAAGCCTTTCAGGATGTGGTAGCCATCATCATGTTGCTCAAGACGGTCAACAAATGATTCATCCCGCAGATTACCAGCGGTAACCGCTCCTGGCTTTTTGCGTAAAGCAATTGAAATTGAATTTTGTATGCGCTGCATTTCGTAAAATTTATACATGTATAAAACTTTTGGAACTACAAGAAATAGTTGGAAAGGAAAGTTCCTCTGCGTCTTCGTCAAGCGTTAAGCTTGTTGGCCGACGGCCTTCACCCGGTGCCAATGCAATGCGCTGAATTGCAGTATCATTATTTTCCAATAATGTTTCATGGCCTCCGGGATTTAAATTTTCTTCGAGCTCTGCAGCATTTTGGGAGTGGTGCCGCTGGTGAAGAAGTTGCTCTACTGCTTCGCGATCAGATTCGTCCGCAATAAAAGGAATATCATTAATTCCTTGAAGTTCTGTTCGCCATGATTCGTTTAGTGAAATGTTGTGCTTTCTGTAGAGCTCGGTACTTACTAAGTACCGTACAGCTTCAAGGACCCGAGCGGGTCGAATAGTTTCAGTCATGAAATTGTGAGCGTACTCTAGTCTCCTTTTTAAATGGACTTGGATGACATGGGTAGAGTCGAAAGAGCGTGGAAGCGCAGTCACAATATCGGGAACTGAAATTGGAACATTCACCACTGCCCCTCTGATTCCACATTGCCTTTCATAGCCGAGGGAAATAATCCTCATAAAAGGGATTCTCGGTGAAATAAGGCGTTCTTCGAGGCAGGTGAGTCCATTTAAGCACTCAGGGATTTCTGGGAAATCGAACCCATTAGAAAGGCAGAGTGATGGCAGTTTGCCAAGAGAAATGGCACGACGACAAGTGTGGCAAAAGTTATATTTGCCGGACGAACTGGGAAATTTTCTTGACAAATAAAAGGCGTTGCCAACGTTTAGGAGAGGAAATGTAGAGGAGATAGCCAGGATGGATAATCCACTTACCTGCGAACGGAACCATGTTCCTCCACAGCAAATACAAATAGCCGTTGGGCCTTCCTTAATGTTCCTGTGGTACAGATCCCTCGCTGATGATCGAATCCTATTTCGCTGTTGTCCTCGTTCCTGTTCCAGTTCATCCTCCGAAAGTTGAGCTCTTTCGTCCATGTTTCTTTGCGACTGCCTTTGGGAAGCATCCAGTCGATTTTGTGAGTCCATCCTAAAGTTTAATAATCGATCCTCTGCCATTTGCCGAATTTGTTCTTCCCGAATCCTCCGCTGTTGTCGTGTTTCCCGGCGTTGTGATGTGTTTATCCGTTGCTCCTGTGATCTAGCGATGGGATTTCTCCTGGTTGCTCTCCTGTTATCGGCGTCCCTTTCCCGTTCTCGCTGCCTGTCTTCCATATCCCTTCGTCGCTGTCGGTGCTCTCCAGTGTTCCTTTCCTGTTCCCTTGCACGTTCCTCTGGGTCCTCGCGATGAGCAGCTCGTGCTGCGGCGTCCCGAATCCGCTCTGAAATTCGAAATTCGGGATTGTTCCTCCGAGTGGCATGGTCAGCAGTATTTTGCACCTGCTCTTGTCGCCGCTCCTCGGTGTCTTCTCGCCGAATAGTACGCGCTGCGGCGTCCCGCACCCGTTCAGGATTTCGGTACTCCGGAATAGTCCTCCGAGTAGAGTGCTCAGCAGTGTTTCGCAACTGCTCTCGTCGTCGCTCCTCGGGGTCCTCTCGACGGGCAGCGTGTGCATCCATGTCCCGAATCCGTTCAGGAATTCGTAACTCCGAAATAGTCCTCCGAGTAGAGTGCTCAGCAGTGTTTCGCAACTGCTCTCGTCGTCGCTCCTCGGGGTCCTCTCGACGGATCGCGTGTGCATCCATGTCCCGAATCCGTTCAGGAATTCGTAACTCCGAAATAGTCCTCCGAGTAGAGTGCTCAGCAGTGTTTCGCAACTGCTCTCGTCGTCGCTCCTCGGGGTCCTCTCGACGGATCGCATGTACATCCATGTCCCGAATCCGTTCAGGAATTCGAAACTCCGAAATAGTCCTCCGAGTAGAGTGTTCAGCAGTGTTTCGCAACTGCTCTTGTCTTCTCACCTCAGAGTCCTGTCGACGATTCGAACGTCTTGTAGCATCCTGAATACGCTCTACAGAACGGATTTCTGGGTTAGTCCTCTGAGACGCATGCTCAGCAGTGTTTCGCAACTGCTCTTGTCTTCGTTCCTCAGAGTCCTCCCGACGAGTTGAATGCGCTTGTGCGTCCCGAATCCGTTCAAGGTTGCGAACCCTTTCGCTTCTTCTCCGCTGCGCGCGTGCAGCGGAATCCTGAGCACGACTTTCCTCCCGAAGGTTAGGGTTATTGTCGCGAGCATCGGCGATATGTTGAGAGTTCCGAGCTCTTATTTGGGACGCATTCCGTTCATAGCGGGCTCTACTGTGGCTTAAAGCAGCTTGGCGGCGTTGCTCCTGGGACAAGCGTGATACACGAGGCATTTTTTAAATTCCTGTATGAAAAAATGAAAATATGCAATGATAGAATATCAAATCACCTACATGGAATACCGTCCACGGGTATAAGGGGTTATTAGCGAAATATACTTACCAAAGTTTGTAGTTTCAAATGTTAAAAAAATATTTAAAAAAAAATTACTTTCTCACTTTAAATTTTTGCACTGACAGAGTAACGTCGTCACTCGATAAATTTTTTCATTGACTGATCTACGGATTATAGGATTTCTGAATATATATAGGTAATATCCCAAATAAAAAAGAATTATCCCTTGACCCTTTGAAGGTTCCCTAGTTTGACCCTTTTAAAAAAGGCAATAAAAAGTCATGTTTTTTTATGTACCTGTTGTGCAATTTAGGTGTTACGAATAATTGTGGTCCTAATTTGTGGTGCTATTTTTTCCAATTCGACCAATCAAAAAAGGTATTACCTGATATTGTACAGTTACAAAGCCACTTCGGGTCCTTTGCACAATTCTTGTCCCTTGCACGTGTTCATTGAACCACTTGACGGGTTGCCCCATTTTACCTGTTTACCAGGTTATAATGGGATAATCCCCTGGATTTCTTTAAATAAAATGTCTCTGTTATCTAAAAAGTAAAGAGTTGTAAACTAGTCGTAATTTTTATGACCGTACTGCCCGTTACTGTAATTTCCATGCATTATAAAAGAGGCTGAAAAGGGTAGATATGTCAATTCAAAAAAAGTATGAGTATTAAAAATGCTTAATTTTAATAATTTTTGAGAATATAATTTACAGAATATTCTGCAAGGGTATATCAACTTCGGCTCCGCCCGAAGCTAGCTTTTTCTTTCTTGTTTTTTGTTACTATTGCGTATTCTTATTTTAGATATGGTTATCCTATATGCTCTTATATTATGTATGGCCATACGTGATATATTTATGAAATTAAAATTGATTATGAAATAAAGAGCTTTAATCTATCTTTATGTACTGTTTGTTTTTTATTTTTATTATTTATTATAGTTATGTTATCTCTATCTCCTATTTGTTCTACCTTATAAGGACCTGTATATTTGAAATCTAACTTATGTCCTGTTTCAGAGGGTATTATAATTTTGGTCAAAAGTGTGCAACGCAGTGAAGGAGACATCTCCGACCCTATAAAGTATATATATTCATGATCAGGATCACCTCCTGAGTTGATATAAGCATGTCCGTCTGTCCGTCAGTCTGTTTCTACGCAAACTAGTCTCTCAATTTTAAAGATATCGAACTGAATCTTTGCACACACCCTTCTTTCCTTTGCACGCAGTATATAAGTCGGAACGGCCGGGATCGGCCGACTATATCCTATAGCTGCCATATAACTGATTGATCGGAAATGCCATAACTTTGGTGTTTGTAAAGTTAGGAAGTTGGAATTTTCAGAGCTGCCGCTTCTTCCTCGCTTATAGCCCTATTATCCAATAGAAGAGACAGGATAACTAAAAGTTCATTCCACTTAGTTTCAGCAGCGGAAAGAGTAATGAAAAACGTTGGCAGCCCAAATTGTCGAATCATAGCTATAACTTTTTTTTTCTCAGCCTCCCAATGAGCTGGTGCAGACCGTAAGCCTTTCAGGATGTGGTAGCCATCATCATGTTGCTCAAGACGGTCAACAAATGATTCATCCCGCAGATTACCAGCGGTAACCGCTCCTGGCTTTTTGCGTAAAGCAATTGAAATTGAATTTTGTATGCGCTGCATTTCGTAAAATTTATACATGTATAAAACTTTTGGAACTACAAGAAATAGTTGGAAAGGAAAGTTCCTCTGCGTCTTCGTCAAGCGTTAAGCTTGTTGGCCGACGGCCTTCACCCGGTGCCAATGCAATGCGCTGAATTGCAGTATCATTATTTTCCAATAATGTTTCATGGCCTCCGGGATTTAAATTTTCTTCGAGCTCTGCAGCATTTTGGGAGTGGTGCCGCTGGTGAAGAAGTTGCTCTACTGCTTCGCGATCAGATTCGTCCGCAATAAAAGGAATATCATTAATTCCTTGAAGTTCTGTTCGCCATGATTCGTTTAGTGAAATGTTGTGCTTTCTGTAGAGCTCGGTACTTACTAAGTACCGTACAGCTTCAAGGACCCGAGCGGGTCGAATAGTTTCAGTCATGAAATTGTGAGCGTACTCTAGTCTCCTTTTTAAATGGACTTGGATGACATGGGTAGAGTCGAAAGAGCGTGGAAGCGCAGTCACAATATCGGGAACTGAAATTGGAACATTCACCACTGCCCCTCTGATTCCACATTGCCTTTCATAGCCGAGGGAAATAATCCTCATAAAAGGGATTCTCGGTGAAATAAGGCGTTCTTCGAGGCAGGTGAGTCCATTTAAGCACTCAGGGATTTCTGGGAAATCGAACCCATTAGAAAGGCAGAGTGATGGCAGTTTGCCAAGAGAAATGGCACGACGACAAGTGTGGCAAAAGTTATATTTGCCGGACGAACTGGGAAATTTTCTTGACAAATAAAAGGCGTTGCCAACGTTTAGGAGAGGAAATGTAGAGGAGATAGCCAGGATGGATAATCCACTTACCTGCGAACGGAACCATGTTCCTCCACAGCAAATACAAATAGCCGTTGGGCCTTCCTTAATGTTCCTGTGGTACAGATCCCTCGCTGATGATCGAATCCTATTTCGCTGTTGTCCTCGTTCCTGTTCCAGTTCATCCTCCGAAAGTTGAGCTCTTTCGTCCATGTTTCTTTGCGACTGCCTTTGGGAAGCATCCAGTCGATTTTGTGAGTCCATCCTAAAGTTTAATAATCGATCCTCTGCCATTTGCCGAATTTGTTCTTCCCGAATCCTCCGCTGTTGTCGTGTTTCCCGGCGTTGTGATGTGTTTATCCGTTGCTCCTGTGATCTAGCGATGGGATTTCTCCTGGTTGCTCTCCTGTTATCGGCGTCCCTTTCCCGTTCTCGCTGCCTGTCTTCCATATCCCTTCGTCGCTGTCGGTGCTCTCCAGTGTTCCTTTCCTGTTCCCTTGCACGTTCCTCTGGGTCCTCGCGATGAGCAGCTCGTGCTGCGGCGTCCCGAATCCGCTCTGAAATTCGAAATTCGGGATTGTTCCTCCGAGTGGCATGGTCAGCAGTATTTTGCACCTGCTCTTGTCGCCGCTCCTAGGTGTCTTCTCGCCGAATAGTACGCGCTGCGGCGTCCCGCACCCGTTCAGGATTTCGGTACTCCGGAATAGTCCTCCGAGTAGAGTGCTCAGCAGTGTTTCGCAACTGCTCTCGTCGTCGCTCCTCGGGGTCCTCTCGACGGGCAGCGTGTGCATCCATGTCCCGAATCCGTTCAGGAATTCGTAACTCCGAAATAGTCCTCCGAGTAGAGTGCTCAGCAGTGTTTCGCAACTGCTCTCGTCGTCGCTCCTCGGGGTCCTCTCGACGGATCGCGTGTGCATCCATGTCCCGAATCCGTTCAGGAATTCGTAACTCCGAAATAGTCCTCCGAGTAGAGTGCTCAGCAGTGTTTCGCAACTGCTCTCGTCGTCGCTCCTCGGGGTCCTCTCGACGGATCGCATGTACATCCATGTCCCGAATCCGTTCAGGAATTCGAAACTCCGAAATAGTCCTCCGAGTAGAGTGTTCAGCAGTGTTTCGCAACTGCTCTTGTCTTCTCACCTCAGAGTCCTGTCGACGATTCGAACGTCTTGTAGCATCCTGAATACGCTCTACAGAACGGATTTCTGGGTTAGTCCTCTGAGACGCATGCTCAGCAGTGTTTCGCAACTGCTCTTGTCTTCGTTCCTCAGAGTCCTCCCGACGAGTTGAATGCGCTTGTGCGTCCCGAATCCGTTCAAGGTTGCGAACCCTTTCGCTTCTTCTCCGCTGCGCGCGTGCAGCGGAATCCTGAGCACGACTTTCCTCCCGAAGGTTAGGGTTATTGTCGCGAGCATCGGCGATATGTTGAGAGTTCCGAGCTCTTATTTGGGACGCATTCCGTTCATAGCGGGCTCTACTGTGGCTTAAAGCAGCTTGGCGGCGTTGCTCCTGGGACAAGCGTGATACACGAGGCATTTTTTAAATTCCTGTATGAAAAAATGAAAATATGCAATGATAGAATATCAAATCACCTACATGGAATACCGTCCACGGGTATAAGGGGTTATTAGCGAAATATACTTACCAAAGTTTGTAGTTTCAAATGTTAAAAAAATATTTTAAAAAAAATTACTTTCTCACTTTAAATTTTTGCACTGACAGAGTAACGTCGTCACTCGATAAATTTTTTCATTGACTGATCTACGGATTATAGGATTTCTGAATATATATAGGTAATATCCCAAATAAAAAAGAATTATCCCTTGACCATTTGAAGGTTCCCTAGTTTGACCCTTTTAAAAAAGGCAATAAAAAGTCATGTTTTTTTATGTACCTGTTGTGCAATTTAGGTGTTACGAATAATTGTGGTCCTAATTTGTGGTGCTATTTTTTCCAATTCGACCAATCAAAAAAGGTATTACCTGATATTGTACAGTTACAAAGCCACTTCGGGTCCTTTGCACAATTCTTGTCCCTTGCACGTGTTCATTGAACCACTTGACGGGTTGCCCCATTTTACCTGTTTACCAGGTTATAATGGGATAATCCCCTGGATTTCTTTAAATAAAATGTCTCTGTTATCTAAAAAGTAAAGAGTTGTAAACTAGTCGTAATTTTTATGACCGTACTGCCCGTTACTGTAATTTCCATGCATTATAAAAGAGGCTGAAAAGGGTAGATATGTCAATTCAAAAAAAGTATGAGTATTAAAAATGCTTAATTTTAATAATTTTTGAGAATATAATTTACAGAATATTCTGCAAGGGTATATCAACTTCGGCTCCGCCCGAAGCTAGCTTTTCTTTCTTGTTTTTTGTTACTATTGCGTATTCTTATTTTAGATATGGTTATCCTATATGCTCTTATATTATGTATGGCCATACGTGATATATTTATGAAATTAAAATTGATTATGAAATAAAGAGCTTTAATCTATCTTTATGTACTGTTTGTTTTTTATTTTTATTATTTATTATAGTTATGTTATCTCTATCTCCTATTTGTTCTACCTTATAAGGACCTGTATATTTGAAATCTAACTTATGTCCTGTTTCAGAGGGTATTATAATTTTGGTCAAAAGTGTGCAACGCAGTGAAGGAGACATCTCCGACCCTATAAAGTATATATATTCATGATCAGGATCACCTCCTGAGTTGATATAAGCATGTCCGTCTGTCCGTCAGTCTGTTTCTACGCAAACTAGTCTCTCAATTTTAAAGATATCGAACTGAATCTTTGCACACACCCTTCTTTCCTTTGCACGCAGTATATAAGTCGGAACGGCCGGGATCGGCCGACTATATCCATATAACTGATTGATCGGAAATGCCATAACTTTGGTGTTTGTAAAGTAAGGAAGTTGGAATTTTCTATGGGTTTTATTTTTAGCCAATCAATCCGACCCACAAAATTTCATAAGGATCGGATGCCTATATCCTATAGCTGCCATAAATTTGGTTTTTGTTAAGTTAGGAAGTTGGGATTTTCTATGGGTTTTATTTTTGGCCAATCAATCCGACCTACAAAATTTCATAAGGATCGGCTGCCTATATTGATCGGAAATGCCATAACTTTGGTGTTTGTAAAGTTAGGAAGTTGGAATTTTCTATGGGTTTTATTTTTAGCCAATCAATCCGACCCACAAAATTTCATAAGGATCGGCTGCCTATATCCTATAGCTGCCATAAATTTGGTTTTTGTTAAGTTAGGAAGTTGGGATTTTCTATGGGTTTTATTTTTGGCCAATCAATCCGACCTACCAAACTTCATAAGGATCGGTCGACTATATCCTATAGCTGTCATATAACTGAACGGTTGGAAATGCCATAACTTTGGTATTTATACCCGTTACTCGTAGAGTAAAAGGGTATATTGTATTCGTGCAAAAGTATATAACAGGTAGAAGGAAGCGTTTCCGACCCTATAAAGTATAAATATTTTTGTTCAGGATCACTAGCCGAGTCGATCTAGCCATGTCCGTCTGTCTGTCTGTCCGTATGAACGCTGAGATCTCGGAAACTATAAAAGCTAGAAGATTGTCATTTTGCATGTAGATTTTAGGAGTTCCTACGCAGCGCAAGTTTGTTTCAAAATGCCACGCCCTCTCTGACGCCCACAAGCCACAAGCTGTGGCCACAGTTTTGATGATATTATGAAAATTTTAATTGATATGTATTTGTTTCGTCAATAAATATCGATTGGCCTAATAAAAGTTTGCCACGCCCACTCTAACGCCCAAAAACCCATTAAACGCTTAAGCCTGGCTAGCGCCTACATTTCCGCCTTTCATGGCGCCATCTAACGGATGACTTTGGAACAGCTGGCCAAGGTGCTCAACAGAGTCAACGTTAATTATCGATAAGGATTTCTATTAAAGGAAATTGCGATGGTTTTCATTTGTCAATACTCAACTATATCCCAAGAACTGTGCAAATCAAATTAAGTTAGCCAAATTGGAGGTCGTATGGCGTATGTGTGTATGTATGTAAGCATATACATATGTATGTATTTACATTGTACACAGTTGCAATTGCCCGGCAAAGATAACTCCTTTCAAAGAAAGCTATTCGCTATACCCGTTACTCGTGTTGTGCAAACATTTAGACTTTAATATACATAATACTATTTAAGAATGTATGTGTTTAGCCAATATAAGTATGTATGTTTAATATTTCTAGTCAATTTATTGCACTCAAAAACATAAACATAAACACAGCTGCTGGTGCAGGACAAAAGCTGCCTCCGCTAAAGCAGCGCTGGTGCTGATGCTCGTGCTGTAAAGCTGCCAGCACTAAGAGATCGCCGAATTCAAATTGATAATTTGAACGTTTTGTCCTTTTTTCTTGTGGTCACTATAATTCACATTATGGTAAAAAAAAAAAAACATACAAGAAGGCATATTTATATTAAGTTGTTTAGCTGAGTAACGGGTATCTAATAGTCGAGGCACTCGACTATAGCGTTCTCTCTTGTTTTAAAGTTAGGAAGTTGGGATTTTTATATTATATAATAATATTATATGCATTAAGAATGCATCATATAAATAATTTTGGAGAATATAATTTACAGAGTATTCTGCAAGGGTATATCAACTTCGGCTCCGCCCGAAGTTAGCTTTCCTTTCTTGTTTTTCAATAAAACCTGATCTCCTATTTTTAAAACGAAATCTAAACTAGTTTTGTCGTAACTAATTTTTTGTTTTAACTTATGAGATTCTAGCATTAGTCTAGCTATCTTAAATGCCTGTTCTAATCTAAATTTGGATTCCTTAGCATAATCTTCTATATTATAAAGGGGTTTTATTTTATCTATGCTATTAAAATGTTTTGGTAGATTTGAAATTTTACCAAAAACTAGCTCATATGGACAATAGTCATGTGCCATAGATGGGGTTGTATTAAAACAATAGACGAAGTATCGCAGCCATACATCCCAATTTGTTTTGTCAACTGAGATGTATGAACGAATAAACTCATTGAGTGTTCTGTGGCTTCGCTGGTGTGCAGTTGAAGTTATGTTTTTAATATGTAAGTATTTACATAGATCTCCAATAATTGAATTTTTATATTCTGTTCCCATGTCCGTAATGAACGTCTTCATTGGACCTTACAATAGAATAAAATCTTCAAATATATCTTTTGCTACTGTATTTGCACTTTTATTTGGTATAGGTATAGCTACTAGGTATTTAGTTAAATCGCAGATGAGTGTTACTGCGTATTCATTTCCATTATTAGATTTTGGAAGGGGACAATTACTATATCAAAAGCTCTTTGTGGAGTTTCAGTTATAGTTAATGGGGTCTTTTCGTCTTTTCGTTTTCGACTTTTGGCATTTAGGACATTTTTTTATGTACTCTTTTATGTCTTTGGACATATTTTTCCAGTAATAGTGTCTCTGGACCTTGGCCAAGGTTTTTGTAATGCCTGTATGACCACCTTGTATTGCATCATCATGGAATGTAGACAATATAGCTTCTTTTTCTTCTTTTAGTCCTCCGAGTAGAGTGCTCAGCAGTGTTTCGCAACTGCTCTCGTCGTCGCTCCTCGGGGTCCTCTCGACGGATCGCATGTACATCCATGTCCCGAATCCGTTCAGGAATTCGAAACTCCGAAATAGTCCTCCGAGTAGAGTGCTCAGCAGTGTTTCGCAACTGCTCTTGTCTTCTCACCTCAGAGTCCTGTCGACGATTCGAACGTCTTGTAGCATCCTGAATACGCTCTACAGAACGGATTTCTGGGTTAGTCCTCTGAGACGCATGCTCAGCAGTGTTTCGCAACTGCTCTTGTCTTCGTTCCTCAGAGTCCTCCCGACGAGTTGAATGCGCTTGTGCGTCCCGAATCCGTTCAAGGTTGCGAACCCTTTCGCTTCTTCTCCGCTGCGCGCGTGCAGCGGAATCCTGAGCACGACTTTCCTCCCGAAGGTTAGGGTTATTGTCGCGAGCATCGGCGATATGTTGAGAGTTCCGAGCTCTTATTTGGGACGCATTCCGTTCATAGCGGGCTCTACTGTGGCTTAAAGCAGCTTGGCGGCGTTGCTCCTGGGACAAGCGTGATACACGAGGCATTTTTTAAATTCCTGTATGAAAAAATGAAAATATGCAATGATAGAATATCAAATCACCTACATGGAATACCGTCCACGGGTATAAGGGGTTATTAGCGAAATATACTTACCAAAGTTTGTAGTTTCAAATGTTAAAAAAATATTTAAAAAAAAATTACTTTCTCACTTTAAATTTTTGCACTGACAGAGTAACGTCGTCACTCGATAATTTTTTTCATTGACTGATCTACGGATTATAGGATTTCAAATAAAAAAGAATTATCCCTTGACCCTTTAAAGGTTCCCTAGTTTGACCCTTTTAAAAAAGGCAATAAAAAGTCATGTTTTTTTATGTACCTGTGCTACCTGTTGTGCAATTTAGGTGTTACGAATAATTGTGGTCCTAATTTGTGGTGCTATTTTTTCCAATTCGACCAATCAAAAAAGGTATTACCTGATATTGTACAGTTACAAAGCCACTTCGGGTCCTTTGCACAATTCTTGTCCCTTGCACGTGTTCATTGAACCACTTGACGGGTTGCCCCATTTTACCTGTTTACCAGGTTATAATGGGATAATTCCCTGGATTTCTTTAAATAAAATGTCTCTGTTATCTAAAAAGTAAAGAGTTGTAAACTAGTCGTAATTTTTATGACCGTACTGCCCGTTACTGTAATTTCCATGCATTATAAAAGAGGCTGAAAAGGGTAGATATGTCAATTCAAAAAAAGTATGAGTATTAAAAATGTTTAATTTTAATAATTTTTGAGAATATAATTTACAGAATATTCTGCAAGGGTATATCAACTTCGGCTCCGCCCGAAGCTAGCTTTTCTTTCTTGTTTTTTGTTACTATTGCGTATTCTTATTTTAGATATGGTTATCCTATATGCTCTTATATTATGTATGGCCATACGTGATATATTTATGAAATTAAAATTGATTATGAAATAAAGAGCTTTAATCTATCTTTATGTACTGTTTGTTTTTTATTTTTATTATTTATTATAGTTATGTTATCTCTATCTCCTATTTGTTCTACCTTATAAGGACCTGTATATTTGAAATCTAACTTATGTCCTGTTTCAGAGGGTATTATAATTTTGGTCAAAAGTGTGCAACGCAGTGAAGGAGACATCTCCGACCCTATAAAGTATATATATTCATGATCAGGATCACCTCCTGAGTTGATATAAACATGTCCGTCTGTCCGTCAGTCTGTTTCTACGCAAACTAGTCTCTCAATTTTAAAGATATCGAACTGAATCTTTGCACACACCCTTCTTTCCTTTGCACGCAGTATATAAGTCGGAACGGCCGGGATCGGCCGACTATATCCTATAGCTGCCATATAACTGATTGATCGGAAATGCCATAACTTTGGTGTTTGTAAAGTTAGGAAGTTGGAATTTTCTATGGGTTTTATTTTTAGCCAATCAATCCGTCCCACAAAATTTCATAAGGATCGGCTGACTATATCCTATAGCTGCCATAACTTTGGTTTTTGTTAAGTTAGGAAGTTGGGATTTTCTATGGGTTTTATTTTTGGCCAATCAATCCGACCTACCAAACTTCATAAGGATCGGTCGACTATATCCTATAGCTGTCATATAACTGAACGGTTGGAAATGCCATAACTTTGGTATTTATACCCGTTACTCGTAGAGTAAAAGGGTATATTGTATTCGTGCAAAAGTATGTAACAGGTAGAAGGAAGCGTTTCCGACCCTATAAAGTATAAATATTTTTGTTCAGGATCACTAGCCGAGTCGATCTAGCCATGTCCGTCTGTCTGTCTGTCCGTATGAACGCTGAGATCTCGGAAACTATAAAAGCTAGAAGATTGTCATTTTGCATGTAGATTTTAGGAGTTCCTACGCAGCGCAAGTTTGTTTCAAAATGCCACGCCCTCTCTGACGCCCACAAGCCATAAGCTGTGGCCACAGTTTTGATGATATTATGAAAATTTTAATTGATATGTATTTGTTTCGTCAATAAATATCGATTGGCCTAATAAAAGTTTGCCACGCCCACTCTAACGCCCAAAAACCCATTAAACGCTTAAGCCTGGCTAGCGCCTACATTTCCGCCTTTCATGGCGCCATCTAACGGATGACTTTGGAACAGCTGGCCAAGGTGCTCAACAGAGTCAACGTTAATTATCGATAAGGATTTCTATTAAAGGAAATTGCGATGGTTTTCATTTGTCAACTATATCCCAAGAACTGTGCAAATCAAATTAAGTTAGCCAAATTGGAGGTCGTATGGAGTATGTGTGTATGTATGTAAGCATATACATATGTATGTATTTACATTGTACACAGTTGCAATTGCCCGGCAAAGATAACTCCTTTCAAAGAAAGCTATTCGCTATACCCGTTACTCGTGTTGTGCAAACATTTAGACTTTAATATACATAATACTATTTAAGAATGTATGTGTTTAGCCAATATAAGTATGTATGTTTAATATTTCTAGTCAATTTATTGCACTCAAAAACATAAACATAAACACAGCTGCTGGTGCAGGACAAAAGCTGCCTCCGCTAAAGCAGCGCTGGTGCTGATGCTCGTGCTGTAAAGCTGCCAGCACTAAGAGATCGCCGAATTCAAATTGATAATTTGACTTTTTGTCCTTTTTTCTTGTGGTAACTATAATTCACATTATGGTAAAAAAAAAAAAACATACAAGAAGGCATATTTATATTAAGTTGTTTAGCTGAGTAACGGGTATCTAATAGTCGAGGCACTCGACTATAGCGTTCTCTCTTGTTTTAAAGTTAGGAAGTTGGGATTTTTATATTATATTAAGAATGCATCATATAAATAATTTTGGAGAATATAATTTACAGAGTATTCTGCAAGGGTATATCAACTTCGGCTCCGCCCGAAGTTAGCTTTCCTTTCTTGTTTTTCAATAAAACCTGATCTCCTATTTTTAAAACGAAATCTAAACTAGTTTTGTCGTAACTAATTTTTTGTTTTAACTTATGAGATTCTAGTATTAGTCTAGCTCTCTTAAATGCCTGTTCTAATCTAAATTTGGATTCCTTAGCATAATCTTCTATATTATAAAGGGGTTTTATTTTATCTATGCTATTAAAATGTTTTGGTAGATTTGAAATTTTACCAAAAAACTAGCTCATATGGACAATAGTCATGTGCCATAGATGGGGTTGTATTAAAACAATAGACGAAGTATCGCAGCCATACATCCCAATTTGTTTTGTCAACTGAGATGTATGAACGAATAAACTCATTGAGTGTTCTGTGGCTTCGCTGGTGTGCAGTTGAAGTTATGTTTTTAATATGTAAGTATTTACATAGATCTCCAATAATTGAATTTTTATATTCTGTTCCCATGTCCGTAATGAACGTCTTCATTGGACCTTACAATAGAATAAAATCTTCAAATATATCTTTTGCTACTGTATTTGCACTTTTATTTGGTATAGGTATAGCTACTAGGTATTTAGTTAAATCGCAGATGAGTGTTACTGCGTATTCATTTCCATTATTAGATTTTGGATGGGGACAATTACTATATCAAAAGCTCTTTGTGGAGTTTCAGTTATAGTTAATGGGGTCTTTTCGTCTTTTCGTTTTCGACTTTTGGCATTTAGGACATTTTTTTATGTACTCTTTTATGTCTTTGGACATATTTTTCCAGTAATAGTGTCTCTGGACCTTGGCCAAGGTTTTTGTAATGCCTGTATGACCACCTTGTATTGCATCATCATGGAATGTAGACAATATAGCTTCTTTTTCTTTATTATTTTTTATTAAGGTCACCGGGTTGAGTAGCACTACTCTCAATGATTTTAATATATTATTGCCCATAATTTTAAAATTATCAATTGAAACATGTTCAAAGACATTTTCCCACGGTGCCACTTTGAGTTGGCTGACTTTGTGAATACCGGCCTGCTTTTCAAGCCTTTGAAAGAATTGAACTAAGTCAATGGTTCCATTAGTATACAAATCGCTAACATCATATCTTGCTGTAATTTTTTTTCCGTGCTTAAATAAACACATTTTATGATTTACATGAAAGGTCACTACTTTACGTACTTCATCATTATTAATGACTTCATATACGTTGGGCTTTGAAGCTTTTTCTAGATATTGCTTAAGCAATTCTAGTTGTTCTTTTCCTGCGCAGGATTTTGGTCTACTTTGGTTTCTGGTAGTAACTTTCAGAATTGTATTGTTTGTTTGTATATTTTTGAAGTCTGTGATGGTTATTCTAGAGAGTGCATCGGCTACATAGTTATCTTTACCCTTTATCATAGCTATAACTTTTTTTTTCTCAGCCTCACAATGAGCTGGTGCAGACCGTAAGCCTTTCAGGATGTGGTAGCCATCATCATGTTGCTCAAGACGGTCAACAAATGATTCATCCCGCAGATTACCAGCGGTAACCGCTCCTGGCTTTTTGCGTAAAGCAATTGAAATTGAATTTTGTTTGCGCTGCATTTCGTAAAATTTATACATGTATAAAACTTTTGGAACTACAGCGCAACGACGGTCGTAAAAACGGATTTGGGATCTGGCTTTTTTCGCATAGGTTGTATTTCCTTTAAATATTTCTCCGCAAGAAATAGTTGGAAAGGAAAGTTCCTCTGCGTCTTCGTCAAGCGTTAAGCTTGTTGGCCGACGGCCTTCACCCGGTGCCAATTCAATGCGCTGAATTGCAGTATCATTATTTTCCAATAATGTTTGGGTGAGTGGTGCTGCTGGTGAAGAAGTTGCTCTACTGCTTCGCGATCAGATTCGTCCGCAATAAAAGGAATATCATTAATTCCTTGAAGTTCTGTTCGCCATGATTCGTTTAGTGAAATGTTGTGCTTTCTGTAGAGCTCGGTACTTACTACGGGATTCTCGGTGAAATAAGGCGTTCTTCGAGGCAGGTGAGTCCATTTAAGCACTCAGGGATTTCTGGGAAATCGAACCCATTAGAAAGGCAGAGTGATGGCAGTTTGCCAAGAGAAATGACACGACGACAAGTGTGGCAAAAGTTATATTTGCCGGACGGACTGGGAAATTTTCTTGACAAATAAAAGGCGTTGCCAACGTTTAGGAGAGGAAATGTAGAGGAGATAGCCAGGATGGATAATCCACTTACCTGCGAACGGAACCATGTTCCTCCACAGCAAATACAAATAGCCGTTGGGCCTTCCTTAATGTTCCTGTGGTACAGATCCCTCGCTGATGATCGAATCCTATTTCGCTGTTGTCCTCGTTCCTGTTCCAGTTCATCCTCCGAAAGTTGAGCTCTTTCGTCCATGTTTCTTTGCGACTGCCTTTGGGAAGCATTCAGTCGATTTTGTGAGTCCATCCTAAAGTTTAATAATCGATCCTCTGCCATTTGCCGAATTTGTTCTTCCCGAATCCTCCGCTGTTGTCGTGTTTCCCGGCGTTGTGATGTGTTTATCCGTTGCTCCTGTGATCTAGCGATGGGATTTCTCCTGGTTGCTCTCCTGTTATCGGCGTCCCTTTCCCGTTCTCGCTGCCTGTCTTCCATATCCCTTCGTCGCTGTCGGTGCTCTCCAGTGTTCCTTTCCTGTTCCCTTGCACGTTCCTCTGGGTCCTCGCGATGAGCAGCTCGTGCTGCGGCGTCCCGAATCCGCTCTGAAATTCGAAATTCGGGATTGTTCCTCCGAGTAGCATGGTCAGCAGTATTTTGCACCTGCTCTTGTCGCCGCTCCTCGGTGTCTTCTCGCCGAATAGTACGCGCTGCGGCGTCCCGCACCCGTTCAGGATTTCGGTACTCCGGAATAGTCCTCCGAGTAGAGTGCTCAGCAGTGTTTCGCAACTGCTCTCGTCGTCGCTCCTCGGGGTCCTCTCGACGGGCAGCGTGTGCATCCATGTCCCGAATCCGTTCAGGAATTCGTAACTCCGAAATAGTCCTCCGAGTAGAGTGCTCAGCAGTGTTTCGCAACTGCTCTCGTCGTCGCTCCTCGGGGTCCTCTCGACGGATCGCGTGTGCATCCATGTCCCGAATCCGTTCAGGAATTCGTAACTCCGAAATAGTCCTCCGAGTAGAGTGCTCAGCAGTGTTTCGCAACTGCTCTCGTCGTCGCTCCTCGGGGTCCTCTCGACGGATCGCGTGTGCATCCATGTCCCGAATCCGTTCAGGAATTCGTAACTCCGAAATAGTCCTCCGAGTAGAGTGCTCAGCAGTGTTTCGCAACAGCTCTCGTCGTCGCTCCTCGGGGTCCTCTCGGCGGATCGCATGTACATCCATGTCCCGAATCCGTTCAGGAATTCGAAACTCCGAAATAGTCCTCCGAGTAGAGTGTTCAGCAGTGTTTCGCAACTGCTCTTGTCTTCTCACCTCAGAGTCCTGTCGACGATTCGAACGTCTTGTAGCATCCTGAATACGCTCTACAGAACGGATTTCTGGGTTAGTCCTCTGAGACGCATGCTCAGCAGAATTTCGCAACTGCTCTTGTCTTCGTTCCTCAGAGTCCTCCCGACGAGTTGAATGCGCTTGTGCGTCCCGAATCCGTTCAAGGTTGCGAACCCTTTCGCTTCTTCTCCGCTGCGCGCGTGCAGCGGAATCCTGAGCACGACTTTCCTCCCGAAGGTTAGGGTTATTGTCGCGAGCATCGGCGATATGTTGAGAGTTCCGAGCTCTTATTTGGGACGCATTCCGTTCATGTATTTCCTTTAAATATTTCTCCGCAAGAAATAGTTGGAAAGGAAAGTTCCTCTGCGTCTTCGTCAAGCGTTAAGCTTGTTGGCCGACGGCCTTCACCCGGTGCCAATTCAATGCGCTGAATTGCAGTATCATTATTTTCCAATAATGTTTGGGTGAGTGGTGCTGCTGGTGAAGAAGTTGCTCTACTGCTTCGCGATCAGATTCGTCCGCAATAAAAGGAATATCATTAATTCCTTGAAGTTCTGTTCGCCATGATTCGTTTAGTGAAATGTTGTGCTTTCTGTAGAGCTCGGTACTTACTACGGGATTCTCGGTGAAATAAGGCGTTCTTCGAGGCAGGTGAGTCCATTTAAGCACTCAGGGATTTCTGGGAAATCGAACCCATTAGAAAGGCAGAGTGATGGCAGTTTGCCAAGAGAAATGACACGACGACAAGTGTGGCAAAAGTTATATTTGCCGGACGGACTGGGAAATTTTCTTGACAAATAAAAGGCGTTGCCAACGTTTAGGAGAGGAAATGTAGAGGAGATAGCCAGGATGGATAATCCACTTACCTGCGAACGGAACCATGTTCCTCCACAGCAAATACAAATAGCCGTTGGGCCTTCCTTAATGTTCCTGTGGTACAGATCCCTCGCTGATGATCGAATCCTATTTCGCTGTTGTCCTCGTTCCTGTTCCAGTTCATCCTCCGAAAGTTGAGCTCTTTCGTCCATGTTTCTTTGCGACTGCCTTTGGGAAGCATTCAGTCGATTTTGTGAGTCCATCCTAAAGTTTAATAATCGATCCTCTGCCATTTGCCGAATTTGTTCTTCCCGAATCCTCCGCTGTTGTCGTGTTTCCCGGCGTTGTGATGTGTTTATCCGTTGCTCCTGTGATCTAGCGATGGGATTTCTCCTGGTTGCTCTCCTGTTATCGGCGTCCCTTTCCCGTTCTCGCTGCCTGTCTTCCATATCCCTTCGTCGCTGTCGGTGCTCTCCAGTGTTCCTTTCCTGTTCCCTTGCACGTTCCTCTGGGTCCTCGCGATGAGCAGCTCGTGCTGCGGCGTCCCGAATCCGCTCTGAAATTCGAAATTCGGGATTGTTCCTCCGAGTAGCATGGTCAGCAGTATTTTGCACCTGCTCTTGTCGCCGCTCCTCGGTGTCTTCTCGCCGAATAGTACGCGCTGCGGCGTCCCGCACCCGTTCAGGATTTCGGTACTCCGGAATAGTCCTCCGAGTAGAGTGCTCAGCAGTGTTTCGCAACTGCTCTCGTCGTCGCTCCTCGGGGTCCTCTCGACGGGCAGCGTGTGCATCCATGTCCCGAATCCGTTCAGGAATTCGTAACTCCGAAATAGTCCTCCGAGTAGAGTGCTCAGCAGTGTTTCGCAACTGCTCTCGTCGTCGCTCCTCGGGGTCCTCTCGACGGATCGCGTGTGCATCCATGTCCCGAATCCGTTCAGGAATTCGTAACTCCGAAATAGTCCTCCGAGTAGAGTGCTCAGCAGTGTTTCGCAACTGCTCTCGTCGTCGCTCCTCGGGGTCCTCTCGACGGATCGCGTGTGCATCCATGTCCCGAATCCGTTCAGGAATTCGTAACTCCGAAATAGTCCTCCGAGTAGAGTGCTCAGCAGTGTTTCGCAACAGCTCTCGTCGTCGCTCCTCGGGGTCCTCTCGGCGGATCGCATGTACATCCATGTCCCGAATCCGTTCAGGAATTCGAAACTCCGAAATAGTCCTCCGAGTAGAGTGTTCAGCAGTGTTTCGCAACTGCTCTTGTCTTCTCACCTCAGAGTCCTGTCGACGATTCGAACGTCTTGTAGCATCCTGAATACGCTCTACAGAACGGATTTCTGGGTTAGTCCTCTGAGACGCATGCTCAGCAGTGTTTCGCAACTGCTCTTGTCTTCGTTCCTCAGAGTCCTCCCGACGAGTTGAATGCGCTTGTGCGTCCCGAATCCGTTCAAGGTTGCGAACCCTTTCGCTTCTTCTCCGCTGCGCGCGTGCAGCGGAATCCTGAGCACGACTTTCCTCCCGAAGGTTAGGGTTATTGTCGCGAGCATCGGCGATATGTTGAGAGTTCCGAGCTCTTATTTGGGACGCATTCCGTTCATGTATTTCCTTTAAATATTTCTCCGCAAGAAATAGTTGGAAAGGAAAGTTCCTCTGCGTCTTCGTCAAGCGTTAAGCTTGTTGGCCGACGGCCTTCACCCGGTGCCAATTCAATGCGCTGAATTGCAGTATCATTATTTTCCAATAATGTTTGGGTGAGTGGTGCTGCTGGTGAAGAAGTTGCTCTACTGCTTCGCGATCAGATTCGTCCGCAATAAAAGGAATATCATTAATTCCTTGAAGTTCTGTTCGCCATGATTCGTTTAGTGAAATGTTGTGCTTTCTGTAGAGCTCGGTACTTACTACGGGATTCTCGGTGAAATAAGGCGTTCTTCGAGGCAGGTGAGTCCATTTAAGCACTCAGGGATTTCTGGGAAATCGAACCCATTAGAAAGGCAGAGTGATGGCAGTTTGCCAAGAGAAATGACACGACGACAAGTGTGGCAAAAGTTATATTTGCCGGACGGACTGGGAAATTTTCTTGACAAATAAAAGGCGTTGCCAACGTTTAGGAGAGGAAATGTAGAGGAGATAGCCAGGATGGATAATCCACTTACCTGCGAACGGAACCATGTTCCTCCACAGCAAATACAAATAGCCGTTGGGCCTTCCTTAATGTTCCTGTGGTACAGATCCCTCGCTGATGATCGAATCCTATTTCGCTGTTGTCCTCGTTCCTGTTCCAGTTCATCCTCCGAAAGTTGAGCTCTTTCGTCCATGTTTCTTTGCGACTGCCTTTGGGAAGCATTCAGTCGATTTTGTGAGTCCATCCTAAAGTTTAATAATCGATCCTCTGCCATTTGCCGAATTTGTTCTTCCCGAATCCTCCGCTGTTGTCGTGTTTCCCGGCGTTGTGATGTGTTTATCCGTTGCTCCTGTGATCTAGCGATGGGATTTCTCCTGGTTGCTCTCCTGTTATCGGCGTCCCTTTCCCGTTCTCGCTGCCTGTCTTCCACATCCCTTCGTCGCTGTCGGTGCTCTCCAGTGTTCCTTTCCTGTTCCCTTGCACGTTCCTCTGGGTCCTCGCGATGAGCAGCTCGTGCTGCGGCGTCCCGAATCCGCTCTGAAATTCGAAATTCGGGATTGTTCCTCCGAGTAGCATGGTCAGCAGTATTTTGCACCTGCTCTTGTCGCCGCTCCTCGGTGTCTTCTCGCCGAATAGTACGCGCTGCGGCGTCCCGCACCCGTTCAGGATTTCGGTACTCCGGAATAGTCCTCCGAGTAGAGTGCTCAGCAGTGTTTCGCAACTGCTCTCGTCGTCGCTCGTCGGGGTCCTCTCGACGGGCAGCGTGTGCATCCATGTCCCGAATCCGTTCAGGAATTCGTAACTCCGAAATAGTCCTCCGAGTAGAGTGCTCAGCAGTGTTTCGCAACTGCTCTCGTCGTCGCTCCTCGGGGTCCTCTCGACGGATCGCGTGTGCATCCATGTCCCGAATCCGTTCAGTAATTAACCCGAGTAGAGTGCCAGCAGTGTTTCGCAACTGCTCTCGACGGATCGCGTGTCATCCATGTCCCGAATCCGTTCAGGAATTCGTAACTCCGAAATAGTCCTCCGAGTAGAGTGCTCAGCAGTGTTTCGCAACAGCTCTCGTCGTCGCTCCTCGGGGTCCTCTCGGCGGATCGCATGTACATCCATGTCCCGAATCCGTTCAGGAATTCGAAACTCCGAAATAGTCCTCCGAGTAGAGTGTTCAGCAGTGTTTCGCAACTGCTCTTGTCTTCTCACCTCAGAGTCCTGTCGACGATTCGAACGTCTTGTAGCATCCTGAATACGCTCTACAGAACGGATTTCTGGGTTAGTCCTCTGAGACGCATGCTCAGCAGTGTTTCGCAACTGCTCTTGTCTTCGTTCCTCAGAGTCCTCCCGACGAGTTGAATGCGCTTGTGCGTCCCGAATCCGTTCAAGGTTGCGAACCCTTTCGCTTCTTCTCCGCTGCGCGCGTGCAGCGGAATCCTGAGCACGACTTTCCTCCCGAAGGTTAGGGTTATTGTCGCGAGCATCGGCGATATGTTGAGAGTTCCGAGCTCTTATTTGGGACGCATTCCGTTCATGTATTTCCTTTAAATATTTCTCCGCAAGAAATAGTTGGAAAGGAAAGTTCCTCTGCGTCTTCGTCAAGCGTTAAGCTTGTTGGCCGACGGCCTTCACCCGGTGCCAATTCAATGCGCTGAATTGCAGTATCATTATTTTCCAATAATGTTTGGGTGAGTGGTGCTGCTGGTGAAAGTTGTTCTCTACTGCTTCGCGATCAGATTCGTCCGCAATAAAAGGAATATCATTAATTCCTTGAAGTTCTGTTCGCCATGATTCGTTTAGTGAAATGTTGTGCTTTCTGTAGAGCTCGGTACTTACTACGGGATTCTCGGTGAAATAAGGCGTTCTTCGAGGCAGGTGAGTCCATTTAAGCACTCAGGGATTTCTGGGAAATCGAACCCATTAGAAAGGCAGAGTGATGGCAGTTTGCCAAGAGAAATGGCACGACGACAAGTGTGGCAAAAGTTATATTTGCCGGACGGACTGGGAAATTTTCTTGACAAATAAAAGGCGTTGCCAACGTTTAGGAGAGGAAATGTAGAGGAGATAGCCAGGATGGATAATCCACTTACCTGCGAACGGAACCATGTTCCTCCACAGCAAATACAAATAGCCGTTGGGCCTTCCTTAATGTTCCTGTGGTACAGATCCCTCGCTGATGATCGAATCCTATTTCGCTGTTGTCCTCGTTCCTGTTCCAGTTCATCCTCCGAAAGTTGAGCTCTTTCGTCCATGTTTCTTTGCGACTGCCTTTGGGAAGCATTCAGTCGATTTTGTGAGTCCATCCTAAAGTTTAATAATCGATCCTCTGCCATTTGCCGAATTTGTTCTTCCCGAATCCTCCGCTGTTGTCGTGTTTCCCGGCGTTGTGATGTGTTTATCCGTTGCTCCTGTGATCTAGCGATGGGATTTCTCCTGGTTGCTCTCCTGTTATCGGCGTCCCTTTTCCGTTCTCGCTGCCTGTCTTCCATATCCCTTCGTCGCTGTCGGTGCTCTCCAGTGTTCCTTTCCTGTTCCCTTGCACGTTCCTCTGGGTCCTCGCGATGAGCAGCTCGTGCTGCGGCGTCCCGAATCCGCTCTGAAATTCGAAATTCGGGATTGTTCCTCCGAGTAGCATGGTCAGCAGTATTTTGCACCTGCTCTTGTCGCCGCTCCTCGGTGTCTTCTCGCCGAATAGTACGCGCTGCGGCGTCCCGCACCCGTTCAGGATTTCGGTACTCCGGAATAGTCCTCCGAGTAGAGTGCTCAGCAGTGTTTCGCAACTGCTCTCGTCGTCGCTCCTCGGGGTCCTCTCGACGGGCAGCGTGTGCATCCATGTCCCGAATCCGTTCAGGAATTCGTAACTCCGAAATAGTCCTCCGAGTAGAGTGCTCAGCAGTGTTTCGCAACTGCTCTCGTCGTCGCTCCTCGGGGTCCTCTCGACGGATCGCGTGTGCATCCATGTCCCGAATCCGTTCAGGAATTCGTAACTCCGAAATAGTCCTCCGAGTAGAGTGCTCAGCAGTGTTTCGCAACTGCTCTCGTCGTCGCTCCTCGGGGTCCTCTCGACGGATCGCGTGTGCATCCATGTCCCGAATCCGTTCAGGAATTCGTAACTCCGAAATAGTCCTCCGAGTAGAGTGCTCAGCAGTGTTTCGCAACAGCTCTCGTCGTCGCTCCTCGGGGTCCTCTCGACGGATCGCATGTACATCCATGTCCCGAATCCGTTCAGGAATTCGAAACTCCGAAATAGTCCTCCGAGTAGAGTGTTCAGCAGTGTTTCGCAACTGCTCTTGTCTTCTCACCTCAGAGTCCTGTCGACGATTCGAACGTCTTGTAGCATCCTGAATACGCTCTACAGAACGGATTTCTGGGTTAGTCCTCTGAGACGCATGCTCAGCAGTGTTTCGCAACTGCTCTTGTCTTCGTTCCTCAGAGTCCTCCCGACGAGTTGAATGCGCTTGTGCGTCCCGAATCCGTTCAAGGTTGCGAACCCTTTCGCTTCTTCTCCGCTGCGCGCGTGCAGCGGAATCCTGAGCACGACTTTCCTCCCGAAGGTTAGGGTTATTGTCGCGAGCATCGGCGATATGTTGAGAGTTCCGAGCTCTTATTTGGGACGCATTCCGTTCATAGCGGGCTCTACTGTGGCTTAAAGCAGCTTGGCGGCGTTGCTCCTGGGACAAGCGTGATACACGAGGCATTTTTTAAATTCCTGTATGAAAAAATGAAAATATGCAATGATAGAATATAAAATCACCTACATGGAATACCGTCCACGGGTATAAGGGGTTATTAGCGAAATATACTTACCAAAGTTTGTAGTTTCAAATGTTAAAAAAATATTTTAAAAAAAATTACTTTCTCACTTTAAATTTTTGCACTGACAGAGTAACGTCGTCACTCGATAAATTTTTTCATTGACTGATCTACGGATTATAGGATTTCTGAATATATATAGGTAATATCCCAAATAAAAAAGAATTATCCCTTGACCCTTTAAAAGTTCCCTAGTTTGACCCTTTTAAAAAAGGCAATAAAAAGTCATGTTTTTTTATGTACCTGTGCTACCTGTTGTGCAATTTAGGTGTTACGAATAATTGTGGTCCTAATTTGTGGTGCTATTTTTTCCAATTCGACCAATCAAAAAAGGTATTACCTGATATTGTACAGTTACAAAGCCACTTCGGGTCCTTTGCACAATTCTTGTCCCTTGCACGTGTTCATTGAACCACTTGACGGGTTGCCCCATTTTACCTGTTTACCAGGTTATAATGGGATAATCCCCTGGATTTCTTTAAATAAAATGTCTCTGTTATCTAAAAAGTAAAGAGTTGTAAACTAGTCGTAATTTTTATGACCGTACTGCCCGTTACTGTAATTTCCATGCATTATAAAAGAGGCTGAAAAGGGTAGATATGTCAATTCAAAAAAAGTATGAGTATTAAAAATGCTTAATTTTAATAATTTTTGAGAATATAATTTACAGAATATTCTGCAAGGGTATATCGACTTCGGCTCCGCCCGAAGCTAGCTTTTCTTTCTTGTTTTTTGTTACTATTGCGTATTCTTATTTTAGATATGGTTATCCTATATGCTCTTATATTATGTATGGCCATACCTGATATATTTATGAAATTAAAATTGATTATGAAATAAAGAGCTTTAATCTATCTTTATGTACTGTTTGTTTTTTATTTTTATTATTTATTATAGTTATGTTATCTCTATCTCCTATTTGTTCTACCTTATAAGGACCTGTATATTTGAAATCTAACTTATGTCCTGTTTCAGAGGGTATTATAATTTTGGTCAGAAGTGTGCAACGCAGTGAAGGAGACATCTCCGACCCTATAAAGTATATATATTCATGATCAGGATCACCTCCTGAGTTGATATAAGCATGTCCGTCAGTCCGTCAGTCTGTTTCTACGCAAACTAGTCTCTCAATTTTAAAGATATCGAACTGAATCTTTGCACACACCCTTCTTTCCTTTGCACGCAGTATATAAGTCGGAACGGCCGGGATCGGCCGACTATATCCTATAGCTGCCATATAACTGATTGATCGGAAATGCCATAACTTTGGTGTTTGTAAAGTTAGGAAGTTGGAATTTTCTATGCGTTTTATTTTTAGCCAATCAATCCGACCCACAAAATTTCATAAGGATCCTATAGCTGCCATAACTTTGGTTTTTGTTAAGTTAGGAAGTTGGGATTTTCTATGGGTTTTATTTTTGGCCAATCAATCCGACCTACCAAACTTCATAAGGATCGGTCGACTATATCCTATAGCTGTCATATAACTGAACGGTTGGAAATGCCATAACTTTGGTATTTATACCCGTTACTCGTAGAGTAAAAGGGTATATTGTATTCGTGCAAAAGTATGTAACAGGTAGAAGGAAGCGTTTCCGACCCTATAAAGTATAAATATTTTTGTTCAGGATCACTAGCCGAGTCGATCTAGCCATGTCCGTCTGTCTGTCTGTCCGTATGAACGCTGAGATCTCGGAAACTATAAAAGCTAGAGGATTGTCCTTTTGCATGTAGATTTTAGGAGTTCCTACGCAGCGCAAGTTTGTTTCAAAATGGTGCCACGCCCTCTCTGACGCCCACAAGCCACAAGCTGTGGCCACAGTTTTGATGATATTATGAAAATTTTAATTGATATGTATTTGTTTCGTCAATAAATATCGATTGGCCTAATAAAAGTTTGCCACGCCCACTCTAACGCCCAAAAACCCATTAAACGCTTAAGCCTGGCTAGCGCCTACATTTCCGCCTTTCATGGCGCCATCTAACGGATGACTTTGGAACAGCTGGCCAAGGTGCTCAACAGAGTCAACGTTAATTATCGATAAGGATTTCTATTAAAGGAAATTGCGATGGTTTTCATTTGTCAATACTCAACTATATCCCAAGAACTGTGCAAATCAAATTAAGTTAGCCAAATTGGAGGTCGTATGGCGTATGTGTGTATGTATGTAAGCATATACATATGTATGTATTTACATTGTACACAGTTGCAATTGCCCGGCAAAGATAACTCCTTTCAAAGAAAGCTATTCGCTATACCCGTTACTCGTGTTGTGCAAACATTTAGACTTTAATATACATAATACTATTTAAGAATGTATGTGTTTAGCCAATATAAGTATGTATGTTTAATATTTCTAGTCAATTTATTGCACTCAAAAACATAAACATAAACACAGCTGCTGGTGCAGGACAAAAGCTGCCTCCGCTAAAGCAGCGCTGGTGCTGATGCTCGTGCTGTAAAGCTGCCAGCACTAAGAGATCGCCGAATTCAAATTGTTAATTTGAACTTTTTGTCCTTTTTTCTTGTGGTAACTATAATTCACATTATGGTAAAAAAAAAAAAAACATACAAGAAGGCATATTTGTATTAAGTTGTTTAGCTGAGTAACGGGTATCTAATAGTCGAGGCACTCGACTATAGCGTTCTCTCTTGTTTTAAAGTTAGGAAGTTGGGATTTTTATATTATATTAAGAATGCATCATATAAATAATTTTGGAGAATATAATTTACAGAGTATTCTGCAAGGGTATATCAACTTCGGCTCCGCCCGAAGTTAGCTTTCCTTTCTTGTTTTTCAATAAAACCTGATATCCTATTTTTAAAACGAAATCTAAACTAGTTTTGTCGTAACTAATTTTTTGTTTTAACTTATGAGATTCTAGTATTAGTCTAGCTCTCTTAAATGCCTGTTCTAATCTAAATTTGGATTCCTTAGCATAATCTTCTATATTATAAAGGGGTTTTATTTTATCTATGCTATTAAAATGTTTTGGTAGATTTGAAATTTTACCAAAAACTAGCTCATATGGACAATAGTCATGTGCCATAGATGGGGTTGTATTAAAACAATAGACGAAGTATCGCAGCCATACATCCCAATTTGTTTTGTCAACTGAGATGTATGAACGAATAAACTCATTGAGTGTTCTGTGGCTTCGCTGGTGTGCAGTTGAAGTTATGTTTTTAATATGTAAGTATTTACATAGATCTCCAATAATTGAATTTTTATATTCTGTTCCCATGTCCGTAATGAACGTCTTCATTGGACCTTACAATAGAATAAAATCTTCAAATATATCTTTTGCTACTGTATTTGCACTTTTATTTGGTATAGGTATAGCTACTAGGTATTTAGTTAAATCGCAGATGAGTGTTACTGCGTATTCATTTCCATTATTAGATTTTGGATGGGGACAATTACTATATCAAAAGCTCTTTGTGGAGTTTCAGTTATAGTTAATGGGGTCTTTTCGTCTTTTCGTTTTCGACTTTTGGCATTTAGGACATTTTTTTATGTACTCTTTTATGTCTTTGGACATATTTTTCCAGTAATAGTGTCTCTGGACCTTGGCCAAGGTTTTTGTAATGCCTGTATGACCACCTTGTATTGCATCATCATGGAATGTAGACAATATAGCTTCTTTTTCTTTATTATTTTTTATTACGGTCACCGGGTTGAGTAGCACTACTCTCAATGATTTTAATATATTATTGCCCATAATTTTAAAATTATCAATTGAAACATGTTCAAAGACATTTTCCCACGGTGCCACTTTGAGTTGGCTGACTTTGTGAATACCGGCCTGCTTTTCAAGCCTTTGAAAGAATTGAACTAAGTCAATTGAACTAAGTCCTTTAGTATACAAATCGCTAACATCATATCTTGCTGTAATTTTTTTTCCGTGCTTAAATAAACACATTTTATGATTTACATGCAAGGTCACTACTTTACGTACTTCATCATTATTAATGACTTCATATACGTTGGGCTTTGAAGCTTTTTCTAGATATTGCTTAAGCAATTCTAGTTGTTCTTTTCCTGCGCAGGATTTTGGTCTACTTTGGTTTCTGGTAGTAACTTTCAGAATTGTATTGTTTGTTTGTATATTTTTGAAGTCTGTGATGGTTATTCTAGAGAGTGCATCGGCTTCATAGTTATCTTTACCCTTTAGATACTCTACCGTAAAATTATATTCCTCCAATTCAAGTCTCATTCGTGTTAGTTTGAAACTGGGATTCACCATTGAAAATAAGTAGGTAAGTGCTCTTTGGTCTGTTTTGACAGTGAAGTGTCTACCATAAATATATGGTCTGAAGTGTGTTATTGCCCAATGAATGGATGCTAATTCTTGTTCTGTAGTGCTCTTGTTGCTTTCACCTTTTGTAAAGTATCTTGCATACGCAAACTGGAAACTGAAGTCCATTTTTGTTTTGAGTTAGGACTGCTCCACAAGCGTATTTGCTAGCATCTGTGATTATGCAAAATTCTTTGCTGGGTATTGCAACAGAGTAGGATTTATTAA